CAGGAATTGACCTGTACGATGTTTCCTACTCACTGAAATCGCACACTGACCTGTTCTACATCAACACCAGTGGGACCATCTGGACCAAAACGCCACTGGACAAAGAAAGGCAGGAGTGGTACATCCTGGACGTAGAGGCAGTGGACACGAGGACACCCCCAACATCAGCCATTGCAATGGTACGGCCACGTTTCCAACAAATGTTGTCTAAAACATGTCCAAAGCCTGGTCCTACAGCCAGGTTCGCTGGCCCCGGGCTGCAGGTGGATAAAAGAAACTCCTCTATTTAAAACCAGAAACCTTTACGCTGCAGAACGTTGAGTTGTGTAAAAACGCTGTTTGGCTTGAGTCACGTATTTGAGATTGTGAAAGTTAAACAAGTGTTTTTCAAACATCTGGCCTCACTATGCGTCGTCGTTCTAGTGGAGCCGTGGAAAAGCAAAAGTGCAGCATGGAAATAGTGAACGGATGAATTTAGAGAACTGCTCATCATGTCCCAACACAGCCTCCTTCTTTTCAGTGAAAGTGCCTCACAAGGAAACATCTGGCAAGAACGTTCTTCGGCTTCTGCTCCTCTGGCTCAGAGACCAACTGCAGGAAAGATTCATTTGTATTAGACCTAATAGCTGCAGCTGTGACGATACAAGACACATCTGTGGCACTCAGTAAAATGTACTCAGCGTTTTAAGGCAGTGTCTTGGCGATTCCAGCTGTGACTTGGGTCCAGAACAGGCCCAGAACGCTGGTCCTGAAGGAAACTGAGAAAAGGGATTTTCTTCTGCCCAGTTCAGGCGACAGCTGTTGAATATTAAAGTATTTTATGAGGTCAGACCAAATCTAATCCTCCGACAGAAAGTAGATATGAACTTCTTGGCTGACACATGTTCATCACTACACAGTAGCATTCAGTTTGAATGAATCACTTATGTGGCAGTGAACAGTGAGTTCCTCTGTGCAGGAGCTTTACAACACCTGTAACTGGAGGTTTTGACCCATGTTTGTCTCCCTCAGGTCACAGTTCAGGTGGACAACGTGAACGAGGCTCCACAGTTTTCCTCTGACCTTTACACCGCCTCCATCTTCAGCATCGCCCCGTATAAAACCTCCGTCATCTCCGTCAAGGTAAACACACCCAGCCTGTCAGTTGTCAGGAAGCTTCGTTACAGGACTGAGAAACACCGGCAGCCACAGTGTGTTAGATAAGGACGACCTCTTTGTGTTGGTAACGTTAGTGTAGCAGTGATAAACAGCAGCTGTGTACTTTGACCTGAAACGTGTCGGAGCAGCAGTGAAACACACCCCCAGGAATCTGGGAGGGGTCTTATCTGAGCACTCGTTCCTTTTCCATGACGTCAACACAGTCAAAGGAGAAATGTTGTTGTTGTGCTGAGAAGGTTTTTTTCAAGTTGTCTTAAGATTTAATCATTTAATTCTTGGATTGTGACTCAATCTGGTGCTCATGTGGAGCGTAGGACTGATAGATCAAGTATCACTTATGAGGTGGCACTAAAAACAAAATTGAGAGTCCAGGAAATTCCTGCTCCTGATCCTCACAAGCAGCCAGAAGGTCAGACTCAACCCACATCACAGCTGAAGTGGCTCCGACCTGACGTGTCCACGTTGGTGTGAACAAGCCAAACCAGATGTTCTCAGATCAGATCTGGGCCACTTGCTAAGTTAGAGAAGTTGTTGCCGATGCCCTGATCAGCGCTACCTCATGATGTAAGTTGTTCATTTCAGAAAGTCCCAGGATACAAATGCACAGGAATTAGAAACTACTGATGCATCTGTGACGGAGTCCGGACGGGGAAGGTCAATGAAAGTCAAAGTAGCAGAGTTTCTTCTTACTGCACAACAAAAGGGAGAAAAACAAAACTAATTCTTTAAAAATCTGAGGCCTTTAGCTGATGTATCAACTGGCTGAGAAGTCATGTGACACAGCTGAACGTGTTCGGGTTTTGAACCATTTCCTGTGTCTCGTCCAGGCCTCAGACCCCGACGTCGGTGACGAGGGCCTGCTGGTCTACAGTCTGTCAGCAGGCGGCTCTTATTTTGACGTGGACCCGTCCTCGGGTCTGGTGTACGTGGTGTCGGCTGCAGCTCTGGCCGAACAGACGGCTGCAGTGGAGGTGACGGCCACAGACCCCCACGGACTTAAAGCTACAACCAGGGTGGTGGTGAGTGCTTCAAACGATTTCACCCAGGCTTCAAGTCAAACAGGAAGTAAAAAGCAAATGTAACAGAAGCCAAAACCTCATGACACCACAGTAAAATACTCTGTTAAAATGATTCAAAGACAGACCAAAGAAAACTTTGACCAGTGTGAGTCTAACCAAACGTCTTCCTGTAAAACAAGGACAAAACATTTAAAGGTTTTTAGCTCTGTCACCCGAACACTGTGGGGTTCCCCAAGTTTATTAAGCCCTGATTTTACTTTAATTCATGAATATTCTCTGTTTGGGTTCTGAAAAACAAGTAAAAAGCAGGTTTTTGGTCTGATTTTCATATCTGTAAATATAAACTCCACAGTTTGTTTGAATAGATTAAGGTCATTAAATCTGATGTTCTAAAATCTGTGAACACGTGTTATGTCCTGATTTACTGGTTCTTTTTTTAGTCCAACGCTATTTTGGTGTTTTTACTGTAAACATGGCTCTCCTGCCCCTAGGTGGAGGTACGGGGGAGTGCGAGCAGCAGCAACGTGGTGACCATCTCCCTCAACCAGCCTGCCAACATCGTGGACAGAAAAGTCCCAGAGCTGGAGAAGTGAGACGAGTTCAGCTCCTGCCTCGCTGCGTCGTGGCTTCCTGGTGATGTGGCACTAATTCTTCTTCTCTGCAGGTCTTTAGGTGCAGCTCTGGGCTGGAGAGTGACCATCCTGGACGTGTGGCAGTCTGAGGGAGGAGCCTCCGAGTCCAGAGCGCTGTCAACCGCTGTGAGGACTCTGGTGAGCTTCATCGCTGTCGATGGAGAGGAGGTCGTCTCTGCAGAAGTCGTCACAGAGTAAGAGTTGGATTTTCACTCTACGTCCCTGTAACTGATGAATAGTGATTAGACATTTAACTGATTCTTTAGCCAGAGAGTGAGAGAAGGCGCCTCCCACTGACTTAATGAATTGTTTGGTGTTAGAAGTACAGAAACACGCTGCATTCAAAGAAACAAACTGGAGGATCTTATTTCTTTATTTACTCATAATCATGCGATAACAGGGGTTGGAAATCAGCAGCTTCTAATTTAACCAATTCTTTAGTATCAAATTAACTCAGAGTTTTCAGTCCAGAGCAGAAGGGAACTGTTAGCAGCCAGTTCGGAGTACTTCGGAGTACTTCGGAGTACCTGCTGTTCCCAAATACACACTTCAAATGGGCCTCAGCGTTGCTGCCTGCAGTGCAACTCGCTACGTGCACTGAGCAGGAGCTGCAAAGCTTCAGAAGCTGCTCGAGAAACACTGGCTTTTTAAGATTTCTTCAGTAGGATATTTGTTCTGACAGCACATCCCACAGCTGGCTAACAGCTGGTTCGGCGTACCGAGGGCTCCATGATGTAACAGAGAGCCTAGGCCAAAAACAGCTCCCACATCATAAGACACTGTAGCCACGGTAACGTTACATAACCTACTTCCTGTTTCTTGTCCAAGTTGATATCTGTTCACATGACTATTAATACTTTGTCTTAATTACGAGATTCAGAGATCGACGTCCTGTAAGAGGCGCAGGCCAAGATGTTGACATCCTTAGGTTTTATATTGAATATGAGCTGAAAAACCAACTTGTCCATTGGTACTTTGAAAAAATGTCACATTAACGGTTCAAGTTCGATCATGTGAACAGATACTTCTACAGGAAACAGGAAGTATAATGTTGACAGACAGGTTACTGTGGGCTGCACCCGGGGCGCCGTCTTCAGCCCATGTCTGTTATGCTTTGGAGCAGGAAGTACACCACATTAAGTGTTGGCAGCTCTGAAGCCTGTTTGTAGCCTGGATTTGTTTGTTTTGGACCACCAGGTTCGCCGTTACCTGTCAACACTTTTTGCTAAGCGCTGCTGGATGATTTAGTTTGATACTAAAGACTTTGTTAAAACCTGGTTCTGCAGCGTTTCAACCCGTGTTCTCTCATGATGCAGACTCCTTCGTCATAGTAATGAGAAGAAAATCTTAGGTGATCAGTAAGTAGTAATAAATTAGCAGGTGTGCGCTACAGAGCTTTGCTGCTCGGCCCAGAAGGTTCTAACTATGAACCTTCACACTCAGTTAAATGTAAAGTCTTCAGTGACTCTTTCTGGGAGTCATGTACAGATGTAGACCAGATGTAGCTCTGTCCTTGCTGCCCCCCCTCACCTGTTCTGTCTGCTCTGTAAGGAAACTGCACAGCCAATCAGATGTCGTGAGGGCTGAGCTGGTCAAAGTGTTCGGGGAGGGGTTTCAGTATGATGTCGAGCTGAAGCCTCAAAGCCCCGCCTCCGACCAGGCTGCCATCATCGCTCTGGGCGTACTCTTGGCTCTGAGCATCCTGGGACTGATTATCACCACCGTCTTGATTGTCAGGTGAGACTGGAGCCAATCAGAAGCCAGAGATGTGTGTCTGTTGGGGGGAACAAAAGCAAACTTCACAGGATAATACAGCTGGTGAGATAACGCAGGTTTAAGTTTAAAATGAAAATGAACAGAGTAAACAGATACAGTATGTAGGACCCTGATCAACTGTGGACGACGTGAGCTCAGTCTGTGCTGGTCCTGTGAGAGTTCTGTGTCAATATCAGCGTCCAAACGCACTGCCCCCCCCACGGCCAGGATGGAGGAGGTTAACTGTCAACATGTGTTTACGTCTCAGGTTCAAGAGGAAGGAGAAACATCAGGCTTTTGACAAGGAGACTTTTGACATTGACCGAAACACTGAGAGTTACAGGTGAGTCCTGTGTAAAAACTCAGAGAACTTTGACCCGGTTCTACACGTGAAGCTTGGTGTAATGAAATCTCCCTGTTCCGGCACAGGAACGGTTCTCTGAGACCTGGAACCGAACAGGTGAAACAGACTGACGTCATCCACAGTTTAAACAAGATGCATGGAAAGGAAAAGGAGCTGACGATTATTGGTTTCTGTTTCAGGTATGGACGAGGCCACAGGAGGTGAAACCTGAGGCCGGGCAGCACAAGACGGACAGACAGACGGCTCAGTGGGACAGACAGACGAACAGCGTGAAATTTAGAGAGGAGATTAACGAAAGCCATGTCATCTCTTTCTGAGCCAGACAACTTTGTCAAACTGTAGAATCTGTGCCACTAAAACACTAATTAGAACGAATCAAAACCGGCATTTTAAGAAAAGCTTTTATAAATTGATCCTTTTTCATGATAAATTCTAAAACAATAAACTCAAACAGCTGAGCTTTGTTTGGACCAATCACAGCTGTTGGACTTCAGTGTAATGTGGCACAAGATTTAAATGAATGAGCCATTTTTAAATTCACGATGCCCTGTGGCGCCGTCCGGTAAACAGAGTTCCAGTTTGTCACCTTTAAAGGACGCAGCCAGGGATTTGATATGTTTGTTATGTTGCACAAACCCCGTCCAGAGACCAGCAGCACCAGTGGATGTGGTTCCTCACTGTGATGTGTGTGAGTCCAGACCCTGGTCCAGCTCATCGCTCTGGGCCGTAGACCTCCACTGTTGTCCACCAGGTATTAAACCCCCACCCCCCCACTGAGCCACACTGCTGCACTGGGGACAGGATCCTCACAGCGATGTGTCGAGTCGTTCCCAGACAACGGTGGAGGGTCTACGGCGCAGACGATAAGCTGAACCGGGGTCTGGACTCACACATCACTGGTGCTGCTGGTCTCTGGACAGGGTTGGTGGGGGATAAAATCAGCAGCTGCATCCTTTAACAACGAGTCTATCAGGTAACTTCATAGAACCAGCAACACCCGGCAGCAGGTCGGCCACAGTAGGAATCAGATCAGGAGAATTGAGACTGATCCTTCCATGTCTGATTCACACAACGGTGGCACTACACTAGTTTGGTACCGTCTCCGTTAGCTTAAACTTTGAAATGACAATATATCTGTAAAGTTCTCTCTCTGGTTCAACATCAGGAACACAGTAAACATGATCAGCTCCTATCCTTCACAGTTCCTCATGAATTTTACCTTAAATAAGGAAAATGAGGGAAGGACGACGACAACAGCCGTAACTGGCCGACTGACAAACACAAACTCTTGTCTGGACATTACTCTGCACCTTCCTGACCAAATTATTCAAGAGTCAGTTTCTCTACAAAGGAGGAATCATCTGCTTTTTCTCAGCTGTCCTGTTTCTGCCCCATACCATGAAACACCTGCTTCATCAGCGCCACCTTCAGCATCCAAATGCCCCCTGGGGTGTGGGGGGTGTCATCACCACTCTAAAGACAAGATATTGATTGTCACGTCATCATTAGTGCTTTAACTGATCAATCAAGCCGTTCATTTACACGTGGTGACAAACTCCAGATGACACACAGCAAAGATCTTATTTCAACATCTTCCATAAACAAGTTGACTTTGACTAAAGTGTTCCACCTGCCTGGTGTCTTTTAGGTTAAGAGAATATTTTATGACTTAGTCCTGGACAAAACATGTAGAGGACACATTAAGGTACGTTCACGTGCCTTTAAACTGAGCAGAAGATCAGATGTTGACTCGTCACTTCAAAGCAAACTGGCCTTTTGTCTTTATAATTTTGGTTGCAGACACAGCCTCATTCTTTTATTCTACATTTATTTAATGCACTGTCTTTGCACGAATGTAAATAATGTTAAAGCTCTGCAGTAACACTGGTACATTAAACTGCCACTCTGTAATTAAATGCATTGTTTTCCCCTCTAAAAGACTTGGACCGTCTTTGGATTAGTACATCTCAGTCATTCTAGGTCTGGAAGCTCCAACGAGCAAAACATGGTGAGACTATCAGCTGACCTCAGCTCTGATTTCTGATGCTTCGACAGTAAAAGGTGACACTAGCTGTGACCAGTGGACCATCTGTTTTAGGAACCAGCGCCATCTACAGTCCCTAAGATATTTGGTCTGTTAAGGTAACTCTACTGTGGTTGTTGGAGTATTTAACTTTTAAATACGAATATTTTGACCCACGGTTCCTCCACATTTTCACTATTCAATGACAGAATGTGCTGGAAACCCCACCACCATCACACCAGCAACACTATTGTCGGTACGACATAAAAACAGACTCTACTTACTGTGTTTGAGCCACTTGGCTTCCCGTACGTCTCCACTGATACATCATCATGAATAAAAAAACCTCACAGCTCCACTTGGTGTTCGGTTCATAATTGTTCATATTAAAACTGTTTATTAATTTATTCTCTAATAAAATAAAGCCAGGAGAGAATCAGAACAGCAGAAGCAGCGAACATAAACAATAGATTATGGAATGAACTTCGGTAAAGAAAATAAAAGCTCCAGCTGGTCCAACACGGGGGCTTTATTTTAACCACAGTCAAAAGCACCGCTTTCATATAATCATATATATATATATAATAATTTATAGGTAAACTTAGTTTCTGGATAATTAAACCACAGAAAGGTCAAGGCAACTTTCCTTTGCCTCATTTGTAAAGTACAAAACTGGCACAGAGGATGACCATTTTTATACACAGTAAAAATGCAATAAAATTAAATTACATAGAGGAGACTAAAGTTCTGTAAACCTTTCCCCGTTACAGCAAACCTCCAAATCACTTTGCAAAACAAATTCAAATTAGTATAAAACACGCACAAAAGAAAAGAACAAAACAAAAACGTTATAATGTGCTAAAGCTTCTTTTCTGTCTCTCCGTTATTTGTCCAACGACGGGTCGTCTGTGCGTGGAGCGAAACGACACGGCGGGGGCCACTGAAGCAGAACCGACTGAACATCAGCGGAAGGCAACGAACAGCAGCGCACAGACAGCAGAACGAGAAGAGACCGAAGAACAGGAGGAAGATTCGTCCTCTGAGCAGAATTAACATTTCCAAAAGGAGAAGAACAAAAAAAGGAAGTTATGGCGGCTGTGAGTTGATGTCATGAAGAGGGCGGGCCTTTTACAGACAGTTTGGTAACTACGGCGATGGCGGCTTCCACCGTTTTGTACAGCATGTCCAGCATGTCAGGTGGGGGGCCGGCGCCCGGAAAGACCTGTGAGGAGGAGGCCTGGCCTCCACAGCCCTCAGGAGCCTCCCCCACCAGCCCGAGTGCTGATGGGAAAGCAGCGTCCTCTGAGAGGGGCGGAGTCACACTGCTGCTTGTCTTAGAGCCCGCCTCCTCCTCCTTCAACTCCTCTATGGTTGCAGACATGGCCTCACCCCTCCTCCTCTCCCGCTGCTCCTCCTCCTCCATGAGCTGCGGAGGCTCTGGCTCCTCCCCCGCCTCCTGCAGCAGGGAGGAGGAGGACGAGAATGAGGAGGAGGAGGATGAAGAGGCCTCCATCTTCTCCTCTTTGGGGGAGGAGTCCAGGTTCCTAGAGGAGGTGGGGGTGGGTTCAGGGGAAGGTGGGTCCTGTTCGGTACCCGGGTCGATCAGAGACGACGAGTCTCGTGTCTCCGTGTCTGAGGTGCTGGTGGGGGTCAGCGCCTCCTGGTGGTCGGGCTTCGGCTCGCTGCAGGGCGGGAGGGCCGAGGCGGAGGAGGTGGAGGCCACACAGAGCGGAGCCACTGTATTGCTGGCTCTGTCATCGTCACTGCTCACCCTCCGCCGCTTCACTGGGGCCGCTCCCCCGTCCACACACACACACACACACACACACACACACACACACACAGTTAAATGTACAGCACAACTGAAAAACAGCCAACTCTACATTTAACTGGTAACCAGTAAAGAGAGGTCAGTGCAGGATGTGGTCCCTCTTCCTGGTACCAGTAGGGAGTCCTGATGCTACTTCTGAGCAGCTGCCTGACACACACAGAACTGTAGGAGTCCAGACCTGAGGCTGTGAAGGCGGAGCTGGCTCACGTCAACGTGAGCGAAGCTACTGCTGACAGTCGACCAAGAGCTTTTCACTTAATCATCATAAGCATTAAGTTCATTCTCGATCATTTTTGACAAAATCTCACCACAAGTTCCACCCAGTGGCCGTTCTGGACAGTTCAGCTGCATCACGTGATCTTCATCGGCAGCTGGGGTGATCACTCGTCACGACAGTGTGGACGTTCAAACTGTTTTCTGAGCTTTGTGTTCGTACAATTTTTAAGCCCATGTGGGAAAGGTGCTCAGGAAAAATGAGCTTCTGCGTGATTTACTGAACCAAAACCCAACTTAAACCAGCACCAGCTGCTGCTTACATGTGTGTGAGAAACGGTACCAACCTGGTTTGACTGCTCAGAGAAGGAAAGTGAAACATCCTTTAGCACCGACACATTCATCATGCTGACGTTCTGACCTCGTTATAACTTCAACATGCCACAAAAAGAAAAGCAGCACTGATTGTTCTACCTTTGGCCTTGTGGTCCTTGGCCTCCAGCTCCAGAGCGCTGCGCTGCTGGACACACATCCGACAGCGGGCCAGCAGCTCCTGCAGGGCCGGGCCCAGTGCCGGGTCAACGGCCTGAGGCTGCTGCAGGGACAGCATCAGCGCCAAGGTCCTCAGGTCCTGATGCAGGAAGACAGAGGACAAAAGACTCAGAACAAAGAAACCAGTTGACATTAGAGGTGGATTTCACGTGTGCACGTGTGTGTGTTGGTCCGTACAGCGTTGAGCAGGCCGCTGGTCTTACTGAGCTCCAGGCGGTGAGCGGCCAGCTCAGGCTGCAGGTTGCTCTGTTCATTCAGCAGGTTCGTCACTAAGACACTGATCAGGTTGGAGCAGCTGGGGCCGGACAGGACCTGGACCTGCGTGCACACACACACACACACACACGCGCGCTTGTTACTAATCAATTTACCATTGAAGTTTGCGACTGCACCATCTTCTAGACAACAGTCCACATCTGCAGCCTGGACAACAACAAAGACTTTAAGCATCAGACTCTAGTCACATATAAATGTGCCCTCAAGAATTTAGCGTGAACAGCTGAGATCATGTGCACAGCTCCGACATATCCGGACTTGCAGAGGAGCAATTTCCAACTAAAGAGCTCAGAGAGAAGCAAACTGAGAAAAATAAAAACCTGCATTTGTAAATTCAACACAAACTAACACATGTACCTTGTGCAGGAAGCAGGTGAGGAAGGAGTAGGCCGCGTTGTTGTTGAGGAACATCCTCTCGTCCATCAGGATGCACTTGATGTACTCGCTGAACGCCGGATCCTCACACAGCAGCTTCACACACGTTTTAGCTAGAACAGACTGAAAAAGCAGTGGCAACAACATGGTTGGACTTTTCAAACAGAAATCTTCCTGATGCCTTGATCATTTGTCTTCAGATGAAGCTGCGAACCTGTGACTGACAGAGCTCTGTCCACAGTTTGGGGAAGAGAGCGAGGTGCAGAGGAAGCCCTTCGTACGCGATCAGCACACCTGAGACACACACACACATACACACACACACACACACACACACACACACACACACACACACAGAAAGAAATAGAAAGAAATCCTTACATATCAGTGCAAAACATTATTAGTAGTAT